TGTGAGAGAAAAACACTGTTCCGGCTAAAAAGATAATCAAAAAAATACGGATTATAAGACAAGCGAACAGAGCCATTGCCACAAGGGTTATGTATTGAGAACGAATAATATGCTCCCATGTTTTGTTTTCCAAACACTTTTTTGTGAGCTAGCTCACATACATTTTCAAACATGCAGGACGACCTCACCTGAGAGTTGGAGCCTTGGAGGACACGGATGCATGCATGCATGCGTAACGACGACGATTTTCAACTGTGCGGCACGCAGACGACAACAGTGTACGGGCGACGGTGTCCCGAGGACACTGAAACTGACAGCCCTTGCACGCACAGGGTTCTCGGCATGCATCCGCGAGTGTTGTTATTGCGAGCATTGAAAACCCGGCGGCCGGCCGCTCTCGCTAGCTGCGTCACAAAAGGTTAATGGCCGGTAATTAACCCACAGCGACGTCTAACCTTCAGAGTGTCGAGGCCGGCCGGCCGGCCCCCAGGTCTCCCGGCGCTTCCGATATGAACCCTGCTGCAGCAAGCAATGCAGCGGCATATATAGCACGCGCACCCACGCCCTTCGTCAACCTTGCGACGTCGCAGCCTCTCGTCCTCGAGGTCGTCCCAATGGTGTAGGCTTCCTGCTGCTGTGCTGCGAAGTGACGGGCCCTTATTGCAAAGTGGCTGGATTTTCTTTTCACGTACTGCGCGCGGCCTGTGTGGAAGGAGCTAGCGTCGTCGTCCATTGTCTTTGGGAATTGAAGGAGATAGAGGACAAAGCGCGAGCGGTTGCACGCGACGTGCATGCAGTGGCAGATAGATGGCGTTTTCCCGGGCGGGGAGTGAGAAGCGATCGAAGCGGCCGGCGAGAGCGACGGCGAGCCTAACAGCAGAATTGGCAGGGGAGCACGCTTGCTTTTGGGGAGGGTTGCTGTGGGCTTTATTTAGCTAGGCGAGCCGCTGACAGTGCACCAGGCGGATGCCCATTTGAGGCCGTGGTCTTTAATTTACTCTTTAATTACCCGGGTTTACATTAGTACTTGGAGGCCGCCGATTTTAAACAGTATATCAATACTATAAGTTAGAACTTATTAGAAAAGCTACCTTCGTTCTAAATTCTAAGACCTTTCAACTTTTCTATGTATATATATTACTTTTATTATATATCTAGATATAGTGTATATCTAAGTAAATAGCAAAAGTTATGTATCTAAAAAAAACTATAGAAGGTCCGACGGGAGTGTGGGAGGAAAATGGTAGATCTCACCAGCATCGTCATAGGCGAGCCAGCGGGGTGGGGATCAGCGGCAGGGATGCAATGGGAGGAGGCGAGCGTGTGGATGCGGTGGCGGAGCTTGAGGATAAATATAGAGGGGGCAACAAGAAAATATGCATAATTTAGGAAGTGTTGGGGTGTCCAATATAAAGCTTTATACTAGCAAAACATACATAAGTACTGTTGCAACCTCTGTAAAATCGCAAAAATGAGGCGGGAGCCATGGCCCACTATGGCCCCAGTGAAGCTCCACCAGTGTGTGGATGGGAGAGAAAAGAAAGATGAAGACTGAAAAATATAATGCCATGGTGGTGGGGGCCACGGCACCGGGAATACCATGATAGGGGTCTCAGCGCAGTAACTTTCAAAAGAAAATGTATAATAGGAGGTTAGATCTCAAACAATCATATATGTCTAGATACATATTAAAAGTAATGTATCTAGAAATATCAAAACGTCTTATAATTTGGAATGAAATGAGTAATTACTAAATAATTAAAATAAATATAAAAGAGAAAAAGACAGGAAATCTCGGGGTGATCTTTCAACAAGAGCCAGAAAAAGACTATATGTTGAAACATCGGTTTCTAACAAGAGTGAGAGGTGGGCGGAGGCCTTCGTCTTAGGTTGGGGTCTCCGCCTTAGATGGGCGGAGGCCGGCCTCCGCCTAAGACGGGCGGAGGTCCTTGAACGCGGCACACTCCAGTCAGACAAGATCATCCGTCAGAGGCTCCAGGTAGAAGGTCGCTAAACGAGGGATTCAGTGGGCTTTGGCAAAGTGGGAGAAAGAAATGAGCGGAGGCCTTCGACTTTGGCCGAGGTTCCGGACTCTAGCTTCGGCAGAGGCACTGCCTGAAAGAGAGAATGAGGATCAAAATACCGACTCACAAGAACTAGGGTTTCATTTGTTCATTTTCCAGCCTCTTGTACAGTTACAAGTCTTCCCTATTTGTAGGGCTCAACCACCACTTTACAGAGTTTACAATAGTACCCTCCAACTGCTACAGTACATTCTCAGAATATTCCACTACTTGCCTTTCGTCTCGTGGGTAATCTTGTCACGCTGCCCTCAGGTACTGGACCTGCGCGATCAACTGGCCCATCAGGCCTCAGGATTCGGCGATGGGCCTTTGGTCCTTCGTCGTAGGTCTCCGCCTCTGGGACACCGAAGCCGCTGACCTCCGACGCCCAGTTCTGCCGTCCTCCTGCTTGGGTCTCCGCCCCATACGAGCGGAGGCCGAACCGGCACGCCCGCGCTGTCCGCGAGCGCCTTCCTCCGGTTACCTGTACACACGTAGGTAACGTCGGCACTTGATTAGCTTTGCAGCGGGGAGGCCTCCGCCCCCTCCGCCCGGAGACGCCTGCGAGCTAACCGGGCGGAGGCTGCGCCAGGGTCACCGGCATCGTCCTGCAAGCACAGTCTGAGGAACCGTCATCTTAGGGAGAGCCTCTGCCGTCTTGGGGAGGACCTCCGCCATTTTCCTTGTGCTAGCCTCCGCCATGTTGGGGAGAGCCTCCGCCATCATTCCTTCATCAGGCCTCTTCGAGGGGAGTTGGCCCATACTCCGTATGGGCTCCCCCAACACTATATGCTTTGGTTAGCATGAACATGCCCATATCCAAGAGAAAACATGAGTGCTCGCATGTCCAATGAGTGACCACTGACCAGTACGCTTTCCTTGAACAAAACAGTTGGGAGCGCCAAATATATGTCCACTGATCGCTGTTATCTGAAAGAGTGAACAGGTCCAAAGCCTATTGTAAGTCATTGAACTGTTAGAAATCCACCGTGGAAAGAAGAAGGTTGAAAAGAGTGTGGAGATAGGGAGCTTCTTTTGCTTTCTTGAAGGATATGGTCAGATGCTTTGAAAATGAAAAGAGCTCCGGATAACTGAACTTAAGAACCCTATCATACCGAAGATCTAGCTTTTGCCATCTTGGATAGTCACTAAAGCCAAACCTTTTAAATGTATCCAAAGGTTTAGGAGAACACACCACCAAAAAGAACCTTTTCGGACATGATTAGGCAATCTATTATTTTGATAATATCATTCCCAAATCAAATTCACCCAAGGAATGTCCATCCTGTATAAGAATTTATGCCAATGTTTCAAAAGAAGTGCTTGATTCTATTGCCTTAGATTCAAGGCTCCAAGACCTCCTTCCTATTTTGGCTTACAAACCATCTCTCAAGCTACTTTGGGAAGCTTGTGAGAGTTAATATCTGCTCCCCTTCACAAGCAATGTTTGCGAAATTTATCGATGTGTTCAGATTTTGGAAGACGAAAGGTGCACACAAAAAGTTAGAAGAGCCGGAAAAAACCGAGTTAGTAAGCTCAAGTCTTCGAGCTTGAGAGAGAAATGTTGTAGTACCAACGAGCCCCTCTTTCACATTTAGTGATTAGATTAGAGGCCAAAAATCCTCTAGCAGGGGCTTGGCTAGCCCAAGGGGCAAACCCAAATAAGTAAAGGGGAAGGGTTCCTTTCTCATTTCTTGTTTCTCAAAAGAGAAAAAAATTATAAGTATATGATTCTATAGTAAAACCGATTTTTGGACAAATAAAAGAAGTCGTATATATATCACATACTCTCTATAGTAAAACCGAGTATAGAGCAAGCACTTCTCTACTTGTGGAGTTTCCTCCCAAACGAAACGTCGCAGGGCGCCTGAATCTGGCCACTTGTTTAACGTGTAGTAGCACTGCACAATTGAACAACGTAACCAACTATTCAGGGATGTGTGGAGCGGGAGCATTCGTACGCAACAGAGCAGTGCAGTTCGGCATGGCTGAGAGAGATCCAGCTGGGAGCGAGCCGGTACCGAGAGCGAGGCCCTCCTCGTAGAAAAGCGAGGCCCTCCTCGTAGAAAAGCGACGCGTAACCTACCACCACCACTGCATGGGACATGGGTAGAGACCGTAGAGTAGAGCGCGACGACGAGGACGAGGACGAGCGGGCGGAAGCTGACAGGCGCACACGCACAAACAACAGCGCTCCGACAGACCCGCCGTACGCCGGTGGACGAGCTCGATCGCTCCATCCATCGAACTGGACCCCCTGCCCGTGATCGATTCCAGTCGTCGGTTACGGCATCGTCGTATCTCTACGATGCGGGTGGGCAACACAGGTTGCTTCGCTTCAGAAGCGAGATATTCCGGGGGGAAAGGAAAGGAAAGCAGGCGATCAGAGAGAGAGAGAGAGAGATTCAGAGCTTTGCAATAATTCAGAGCTAAGGCTAAACTGATGGGGAAAAGCGACGGGACATCAGCAGCATTTGTGACGCCCGTCGCAGTCTCCCGCAGACAGCACGCAGTGGCTCCCCTCATGTGGTTCCACTCCATCCAGCTAGCTACTAGCTACTCTGGCCAGCTCATACACATTACTACATTACAGAGAAAAAAAGCAGCGCCGGTAATACTACTAATATCTGCACCATTATCTTATACACAAGTGACAAATTCACTGTTCGCTGATTGTTACGTACGCTATCGTCGTCGTCGTGGTATTAATCAATCGATCGCCGGATCGAAATTGTTCAAAGAATCACATCGCCCTGCGAAGAGGTAGGCAGGGTTATGCTATGGCAAACGAAATCGTCTCCAAGGGCCTACAGAGACTTGTTAGCTATCTTCAGAGCTTCGGAGCTTCGATCGCCGCCGCCGCTGATGGTGCTGTACTTAGGTTTTGCTATGTACAGATGGCTCCCTCGGCTGGTGGTTGGTGGTCTACGCTGATCATCAGAACTCCATTTTCATGTGGCCTTCTTGTAACTGACCTGTTTCGGGCGGTAATTCATGTGTATCAGACAAACTGAGCAAGTTTCAGTAAATATATTTCAGATTTCTAGTGTTTTATTTACCAACCATGAAAGCTCTGCGATGAAACTGAAACCCCGTTCTCCTGGCTCTGCCCGTTGTTGTCGATGTGGAAAACACTTTGGAGGTCCTCCTCCCAGTAGCTTCTTTGCTGAAAAATAAAAAAAAAATGTAAGCCACAGCTATGTTGGGATTCCCAGTGATTTGATTCTTCAGTAAGCTCATTAAGTAGGTAATGAGCAAGCTCCTCAAGCATCAGTTAGTACCTGCAGGTTTGTGCCGGCTGTCCCATCCTGAAAACCATACTGTCCATTGGTAGCTTGACACAGAGCCAGGTCCAGCGGATTCAGGCCACACTGGTTCTCCAAGCCGTTTGGAACGAACGACTGGAACACATCTCCTTGGTCGCTGAACGGAAACCCTGAGCTGGAGCTTTCCAGCGAGAAGACCGAGCTTGCTGAAGGGCCACAGGCTTGGAACATCTGAATTTTGCCGGCGCCATGTGTGAGTAGCTACTCATTTGGTATTTTGGTGGACTGGTCCATCACAGGACAGGGCATGCTCAGAAGGGGGAAGTTTGAACTTACGTCTTTTTGTAGGAGGGTAGGCAGGTTGCTGAAGTCGAGTGGGTTCACTGTTGCAAGCTTCATGGAGAGGAACTGAGGCCAGAAAAACAGTGAAATTGGTAAGAATTCCGAAAGCTGAATGAATCCCATGGCATCGGATAGTTTGAATGGGCTCTGCTGCTTACCTCGACCTGTCGTTGCAGCGATTGCACGTAGTTTATGATCTCGTCAAGCATGAGCGCCTTGCCAATCACCTAAACAACCAACATTTTGGCAACATAATTCAGTAAACTTGTGGCTAAGGGATCGATTTACTACTAGTTCTTGATTTCCCCGTTCTTCATTCAGAAACCAAACCACCAGTTGATTACCTACCTTGTTGCATCCTGGCACCAGGTCCTGAAGAACCTTCATCCTCTGGCTGATCCTCTCTCTTCTCACCTGTTATAAGACATAACACAGTTCAGCAACACTCAGACATGGAATTTGGCAAGCTGGGTGGTGGGAGCACAGCGCATCAGCGAAGTGATCAGAGTTACTATACCCTCTCTGCGAGGCTGTGGCTGTCAGTAGCCTGCCCTCTCCTGGCCCGGACATGGACGTAGTCCTTGGGGGGCTCCACCGGCTTCGCATTCTTCCCCTTGCCCGGCGGCTTCTGGTTCTGCCCGCCGTCCTCGACGGAGCTGTCGCTCCCGGCCTGCTCCGACTTGAGCTTCACGGGGCTCCCCTCGCCTCCCTCCGTCTTGCACCTCTTGGCGTCCGGATCCTTCTGCTCCCCTGCCTGGATGGCCACAAGGAAATTTCGGCGTCAGTGACGCCAGACGCGCCGGGGCAGGAGCGAGGTGTCCTGGGAGGCAGCAATTCGAGTTCGAGGTCGAGCAGAGACAAAAGCTCACGCACCTGGAAAGACGACTCCTTGCCTTTGCCTTTGGCGGCCGCGGGCGCCTTCCGCTTCTTGTCATTGGCGTCCTTCATCACGGTCGCTGGGTCGGACACCGACGACGCCTCCCGGGAGCCAGCGAACTCGCCGCCGCCGCCGCTCGCGGCGGGCACCGGCGGGGGCAACCCGAAGAGGCCCGCGGCGCCGGGGAAGCGCTGCCCGCTGAAGCTGGACAGCCGCGCCGCGCGCGCCGCGAACCCCGGGTCGCCGCAGAACTTGTCCAGGCAGTCCTCCTCCTCCCTGCCGCCGCCGCCGTCGGCGCCGAGCACGCCGAAGTCGAGCCTCGGCGACGAGTTCAGCAGGCTGGCAATGTAGTCGCCGGCGCCGGCTCTGCTGCCCTCCATCGCGGCCGCAAGAGAGTGGACTAGACTAGACTGGCCGGAGCGCCGCCGTCCGAGGATGAGGAGCGAGCGAGCGGCTTGCCTGCGTTTGTTTCTCGGTGGTGGCTGGTGGATTTGGGGAAAGGCTCCTTTAGGTGGCGAATCGGAAGCAGAGGGGCGGATTTATAGGGGAGGGGATGGATGGATGCTTGGAGGATTGGGCTATGGGCTGGAGGTCAAAGGCGTGGTGGTGAACTCTGAACTGGTGATGCTCCGCTGCAGCTGGAAGTGGAAGCCTTTTGGTTGTTCCTTTTCAGGCTTTGCAACGCCACTGCCCCTTTTCAGCCTCTCCCCCCGCCGGCACCGTAACGGGTACTTCCTCCGGTATAGTAATTTCATTTCTTTCATTTTTTTGTGTTTAACTTTTCTAGTTCTGACTATCAATATAAAAAAAACATACAATCCCTTGTTTCAAATTGCATGTCGTTCTACCTTTTTCTAGATACATAAATTTTAATATATTTATGTATAATATATCTCTAATTGCGTAGCAAATAAAAGGTACTCCTTCCTTTCCAAATTATAAGGTGCTTTGACTTTTTGGTTTATCCATTTTGTTATGTATTTAGATGCACAGCAAAATAAATGTACAAAAAAAAGTCAAAACGACTTATAATCTAGAATGGAGGGAGTATAATGCCTGTAAAAACCTGAACTACTTGTAATTTATTAGGACAGAGGGAGTACGTATAGAGTGAAAATATAAGATTGATGTTATTAATCAATTGATGATGATGAATTATCCTATTGGGGCACTCGCAAATCGCTATCAAAATTTTAAAACTTTTATTTAGGTGCGCATGCATTTCTTGTTTTGCGGCCCCTTGAACTTTGAGGGGAAAGAGGGAGTAGATGACTGACTGTAATTTGTCGCTTCTATTTCACACTGAACGACGTTTGTTTAGGCCGGACTTTGCATATCCATCACATTTGTCAGATCCGAGTCCTTTGCCCAAAGGCGCAAATTCATCGCCCCTAAACAAAAAGAATAAGTCGATGCAAATCTAGCACGGAGGCAACAGAATTGAGACTCGGGAGAGTGAGGCCTTGTCATTGATGTCAAGGATATTATGAACTTTTGCATTTTCGGCAACGCTATACAGCCACTAGTGCCAGTAGGATACTGACGGGGATGATGAGGTGGACTGACAATTGTGATGGATGAATTAAGGGATGAACCAAAAAAAAAAAAGGAGGCATTGCCTGAAGTTGACAACGCAGTTTCATTTCACCCTATCAATACGATGGATGCATGTCAAGTCCATCTGTCGTGTTCCTGCTGGTTTCAATCCAGTGTTCTTTTGCTAGAACTTGGGAAGATAATTTGGCCGCACCTTATCCTACTTAGGTACGGCCAAGCTCCTTTGATAACTCATAACTCATATGTGGCTTTTAATTTGTGTTTGTGTAGGTGGCAAAGGATGCTGCCCCTATTTTGAGTAATTCGTGCTGTTTCTTTTTAACAAATGCCTTATGAATACACAAAAAAGTAGGGTGCGCGCACTGAAAGCTCCTCCTGTACCTAAAACCTATAGCACTTAGCACATACCGAACTTCTCCTTTCTGTTTCTTTATGATGCATCGCTCTGAATTCCCCAAATGAGAGCTGCAATCATGCATGTATCTATGCAAGATTATATGGATGGATGCATAGCGGTAGGCAATAGGCGGCAGGCATTGATGCACGCTAATCGGCGCACTAGGCACTATTAGGCAATAGTCCCTGCTTGCTTCATTCAGGGTACGGCTTCTGAAGGAGAGGAGAGGAGAGAGAGGAGAAATGGATGAGCTCTGGATGCCTGCTGCCTAACTGCTGCTTACCCAGAAACCACAAAAGGGCAATGGCGATAAGCCGATGACTTGTGCAGAGGCTACGCTACCGTCGTCCATGGCCCCCATCTATCCTCCAATCCATCAGAAGATTATCCCTCGTGGGATAATTCGAGCTGCCTAACATTCCACCGCCATTTCTGGCTCATCCTTCGGCTCCTCTCTGAAGGCGTCGACATTATCGTGCTTGCATGGTGTTCAGATTCAGAGAACTGCTGAGATCCCTTCCATAACGGGAAACACGCGAGGCGATGCAGGCCGGGGCCCATGCTTGCCTCACCGATCGATCGATCGATGCCACAAGCTCGCAAGCTAGCTGAATTCATGCATCGATCCATGGGGGCTTCAATGCAATGCAAAGGTTAGCTGAATTTGCAAAGGCAGGAGGATGATGCGTTACCAACTTGCCATGAATGGAATTAATGTACGGAGTACTTCATCAGCTTCAAATATCAGTCCATGAGAATTGTGGTTTCAGACCTGCAACATGTTTTCAGATTTGAAGTGGCTTTGTTTTAGGATCGTTTTATTAAAATTGGCAGGACTGCGCGTTCAAACCATGTTTTTTAGCTGTGAATGGTTTCATACGCGGATCGAACTAGAAGGAAAGAACCTGACAACTCACAAGTGGTGTGTGTATGCATATATGCATTTGAATATTTGTCCCTCAAGGCATCACATATACGTTCTCTTATTTTGTCAACGGACGCGAGGAAGATCGAGGGAGCCAGACTGAAGAACATATGGACGACTGACAGTGCATCGAATAATCTGGCTGCCAGGCCAATCAGTGGTTTTCTCTAATCAGACCCAGGCCCCTCTCAACCGTAACCGTGTTCTCATTTGCAGCAGTAGTCGCAAGGTCGGTCAGAACTTCCAAACTCATGATGTTCATCATGAGTTCATGACCATCAGGAGAGGAGGAAAAAAAACAGAATGGCCGGCGTCTGATACTCTGACCCGAGACTGATGAATTCGACAAAATTTCACGATCGAGAAGCTAAAATGCAGTAGCCGATCCATATTCCGCTGCATTTGCACACATTAACCTAGAACTTGAACCCTGAAAGTTGCTGTCAGTGTCATGTCACTGGCAGGTCGAGATCCATGGGCGATGGAAGAAGAATTATGACCGATCCGGCCGCCGTGTCGCACAGACGGCACAGTACACAACCGTGTGGCAAAATGTCTACCACCAGCTCATATGCTTGCAGCAGCCTTTGTTATTCTTGCACCGCCAGCTAGCTATACTGCATGCCAGCATACAAGACTGTCTCGCATTGCTGCATTGTGCCTGCTGCCTGCTTTTTCAGCAACTACCCGTCGAAAGAAAAGCTGGAGCATCGGAGTAGGTGAGGTGAGCCATGCCCAATTGCTCATGCATGCACACACGGACACGGTTCTTCTTGACCATAAATCTCTCAACGGGAGCGGATTTGATGGCCACTCGTAATCACCCTCTCGGGGACAGTATTAACCACCCCAAGGCCCAAGCGTAGTACAAACGGACAGATCTTGTAGGAATATAGGGCAATAATAAAGAGTAGATTAGGTTGGCAGGCAGTACTGCCGCGACATCTATTAGGGCTTTACTTTAGTACAAGGAGCTGTACTTGTTTATTCAATAAGCTATGCAGAAAAATTGGGGTCTTGGCCTAGCTAGGGTCGGTGCTTCCTTCCGTATATATTTAACTCGTCTTCCTCGTCGAGCTCAATCATTTCAGCTGCAGGAACAAGGAAGGGAAGAGGAATCCATGGGCCGGCGTCCAACCTCGTTCCGATTTATTTATTTATTTTTTGCCAAATAATACAACGAGTTTTTTTAATGTATATATTCAGCGCAGCGACACAGCAGTTGCAACACGGCCCGGCTCATTCCCACGTGGCAGCTGATGCGTGGGCCGTGTCAGCACTGTTAACCTAGCTACATAGCCGTTTAGCTCGTTTACCTAAAATGTAAACATTACACACATTGGCTTGCCGTGTCCGTTTGATTGGTAGTTTATCCATCTTAATCACCATTTAGTTCGTTTAAACGTTTAAGCTAACAGTGTGTGTCAGTGAGTAGACAAGCGCCACGCTGTTGCCGCTCGCCACGTCGGATGGGCACATCTGCGGTAGGCAGCGGCAGTGCTCGTGTTGGAATTGAACTAGCTAGGAAGGAAGGGTGATTTGATTAGTTTTGCATGCATAGTTGTTTGATAAGGAAAGAAGGCTGCCGCCGCAGGCGTGTTAGGTTGAGCTCCGGCGAAACCCTAGCGCGCCGCTGCGAGGGCGAAGAGGAGGAGGAGGGCGTGGCCGCCAATGAGGCAGGCGGGGGTGGGCGCGAGGAGAAAGAAGGCGTGGGTGGGACTCGAGGAACAAGGGGGGCACGAGGAGGAGGCTAGAGATTGAAGATGACCGATGGTTAAGCAAACCTTCAGCCACCTGTCGTGGAGACACAACCTTATTTTATATATATATTCAGCGCAGCGACACAGCAGTTGCCACACGGCCCAGCTCCGTCCTGCGCGGCAGCGTCCTGCGCGGCAGCTGATGCGAGGGCCGTGTCAGCACTGTTCACATACATAGCCGTTTAGCTCCTTTACATAGAGTGCAAACTGTAAACATTACACATTAGCTTGTCGTGTCCGTTTTATTGGTAGTTTATCTATCTATGACCACCATTTCGTTCGATCGTTTAAACGTTTATGCTAACAGTATTTGTATCCTACGTGGCAGGTGATCGACGCGTGGGCCGTGTCAGTGAATGGAGCAGCGCCAAGCTGTCGCCACGTCGGATGGGCACATCTGCAGTAGGCAGTGGCGGTGTTCGTCTAGGAATTGAAGTGAGCTAGCTAGGACGAGGGGTGATTTGATTAGTTTGTTTGCATAGTTGTTAGATCTCAACTTACAGCATAAGTTTGGTGGATCTGGAGGTAATAGAAAAATATCAGCAAGAAGGGGTAGCTTGAGATGCGTCGTCGATATATATTCCACTCCTCGGGTAGGTCAATCATTGCTGCTCATGCAGGGTGGAGTATTTCTAACCTTCCCGGCGCTTACTTTTCGGTTCTTCTGTCGGGCAGGCTCTCTCTTGGACCTCAACAGCTCACAATTATTTCTGCTGCTTGGAGGCTCTTTGGTTCTGCCTC